CTAAATTTCAATGACAAAATGAGGATGTCAGCGATAGTTAAACCTGAATTTAGCAAGCTAGTTTACTTGATTCGCCAAGTTTAGTCAATTCAAAATGTTAATTGTGTTACTGGCTAACTACTCATAACAATTAGAACCACTCAATCGAGATTCGTGACTCGATGTTCCCTACTAAATGTCAAAAGCAGTAAAACGAGAATGTGGTTGATTAGATATAATAATATATCCAACATGATTTAAATAAAACCTTATTTATCATAACATAATAATTTATTATATATAACATATAAATAATAAATTCCATTTTATTTCAATATCAAATTTATAATATTTCTAAAATAATAAATTTAAAATTTTTAGTTTTTAAATAGCTGATATTTAAATTTTAATTAATATGAAATTTGTAATTATTACTTGATTTTATTGTAGGGAAAATACTGATAAAGTATACTTATCACTATACAATACTTACATTAATAGCAGCAATACATTTATACTGTATAATATTATATTTAGAATGGTTGTATTATTTTATTATATTGATATTACCAGTATATAATATATTTGTAATAATAGTCATTGTTAGTTAAATTATTAAATTAAATTTTGGTAAGAACATTAAATTAATTATGCTAACATTTAAAATATTCTATATGTTGTTATTTTATTAGTACTAACATTAAAACTAATTTAATAAAAGTACTTATTTTTATATCTGATTTTTAACCTGACTAGTTTTAAATATAACAAATTATTTAAGTTTTTACTGTATGAATTAATTTCCAAATAATTTTTACATCTTATTGTCAATAATAATAATAATCTTTAAAATGACAATATCAACAATATATTTTAAAATCAGAATTAAACTATAATTTCAATTTGAATGTTATTTTGATTATTTTATTTAGATATGTCAACTAAAAAAGAGATAACGATCCTATTATTGGGTGAGTCTAGTGTGGGAAAGACTACTTTCATCAACGCATTTTTCAATTATTTAAATTATGACGACTTTTTTGAAGCGATTCAACAACCTATTTGTATATTGCCCACGGATTTTAAAATAATGGATCCTGATACAAATGATCTAAAGAATGTGCATTTAAGAAAATCATTAAAAAATGATATAAGTTCTTATGACAGGGAAAGTGATCATCCTAAATGCTACATGATTTCATTCGATAATATTCAGCTTAATATACTAAATACCCCGGGTATTGTTGATACTGATAGCACTGAAAATCACAATAATAATGCCATTGCTATTCAAAGGATCTTGGACTTTATTAACAATTATAGTGAAATTAATGCCATTTGTGTGTTATTGAAACCTAATAATGCATATGTGCAAGGTCTATTCAAGTACTATTTGTTTCAAAATATATTTAGTCATTTGAATAATTCTGCTGCTGAGAATATACTGTTCCTAATAACGGATACCCAGACACCTGGTAACTCGGCTACAATATTAATGCGTGAGCTCGGTCAAATTAATGAAGCTAAAACTAATTTTGTTATAAAATATAACAAAAACAAAATCTATTGCATTGATTACGAGCCATTCAAATACGCCGTGGCATCAGCCCCACCAAATAATATTAATTTTAGTAAATATACCAAGTTGGAACAGAATATAAATTGGGAAAGGTATAGTAAATTATTTACTTTAATTTAAAAATTTGAGATTGTAAATATTCAACAATAAAAATATATATGTTTCTACAAACAGGGCGAATTTAGAATGTAAACGCTTAATAGACTATATTTGCAAACTTCCAGTTCTTAAACACGTTGTTAAAGTAACAATACCAATGCTACCCACACCACCGAATTTATCATCATCTTTACCAACAGTAGCAACACTAGAACCCCCTATATTTTCACCAACTACACCACCTATACAAAGTATCCCACAACCATTATTGCCACCAATTCAAAATGTACCAGAACCAATAGCAAGATTGTCAGAAGATAATTTATCACCAATAATACCCCAAGAATTATTTCCTTTGCAAATACAAAACAATTTACCATCACCACCACTATTGCCTAGTACACTGCCACCAACATTGCCACCAGTGATACCAAAATCAACAATAGGGCAAAATGTATATGATAACAAACCGAATGAAATAACCCTGTTATTATTAGGTGAGTCGGGTGTAGGGAAGTCTACATTTATCAACGCATTCGTTAATTATATGACTTACAAGACTATGAATGAGGCCAGGGATGGAAAACTCAAATGCCTATTAAATGACTCATTTTCAATAACTAATCCAGATACTTATGAGCAAAGCGATGTTTGCATAAAACCAGAAACTATAATTAATTTAACAGATTTAATTGCTAATGAAATCAAATTATATAAATTTGAAATTGGTGAATATAATATTACAATAATAAATACCCCTAGTATTACCGATAATGACTTTAATAATAATAATAATATGAGGAATATATTAGATTTTATTAGCAATTATCAAAAAATTAATGCTATTTGTGTGCTAATAAAGCCAGAAAATTCAACATTAGATTTCGTATTTAAAAATTATTTACAAATATTAATTGATCAAGTTTCTAATAATGCATCAAACAATATATTATTCGCGTTTCCTAAACCTGAAATACCAATGGAAAGGGTGGTTTTTATTAAAACTGAACTATGTCAAATCACAGATAATACCAAAAATAGTTACATTCAATTTAATGGAACAACATCATATTGCTTTGATTTTGAGTCATTTCGATTATTTGTAGCTACTGTACCTCCAAATAAACTGGTGTTTAACCAGGATAGTATAGATGATCTCGAATTGGCATGGGCAAGGTGAGTATTTATAATTGATAAATTTTGTAAAATTAAATTAATGCAATATTTATTCTAATTTATTTCCAGATCTGTTGAAGAATGTACTCGGTTATTTAAATATATATGCAATCTTGAACCAATAGAAATTAAATTAATTATTAAAACAAAACCAATTAATGAATTTCCCGCAACTACACAGAACCAAAATGATAAAATTAATTTGTCCAAAATAAATGAACCAGGTATTAAAAATGAAAACATTACAAATTATTCAAAACCTATTGCAGAAGAAATTAATGCCCATAATAACATAACAAGAATTGAAAATTTGAACATGGAAATTAAAAATGAAATTGATAATGTTATTAACTTATCTAGGAAAACAATTAACCTGTTATTGTTGGGTGAGTCGGGTGTGGAAAAGTCCACATTCATTAACGGATTCGTCAATTATATCACTTATAAAAATTATCAACAAACTCAATCAAAATCAAGTTGCCATGTCGCTGGTGAATTCACAACCACAAGTGATTCAGTTAGACCAAAATGTTATAAATTTGACATTGGTCATATAAACCTTAATATAATTGATACCCCGGATATTTGTGAAATGGATGATGATGATAAACATAAAATTAATATAATAAATATTTCGGGTGTATTAACAAATTATCATGAAATTAGTGCCGTTTGTGTGCTATTAAAAGAAAATATTAAAATGCTGGAGTTTATATTCGAAAATTATTTACAAATACTAATTAATCAAGTAAACCAACAATTACCTAAAAATATAATTTTTATTATTCCTGATACTTGCAACCCTGCAAATTGTGTTTCCGAATTAAAAATTGTGAAAAATAAATTAGCATACTATTATAAAGATATTGACTTTCAATACGATAATAATGATAAAATATATTGTTTCGATATGGATTCCATAAAATTATTATTTCTAATAAAATTTAGAAATAAGATTGAAATTTCAAATAAATTATCATCGTCCATGTAAGGCTAAAGTTTATTTAAATTATCAATTATTTAATTATTACGATTTTAAGTAATAAATATTATTTTCTCCATAGGTCAGAATGTTCTCGTTTATTAGATTTCATATGTGAACTAGAACCATTAAAAATTAACATAAAACAGAAACCATTTGACAAAATTTCTAAGACATCTAAAAAAGTAATAACCTTGCTATTGTTGGGTGAGTCGGGTGTTGGGAAGTCCACATTCATTAATGCCTTTGTCAATTATATCAAATATGATGATTTGCACCAAGCTAAATTAAACCCCGAATGCTTAATTCCCGTCTCATTCACAATAACAGACAAAGATACTCTTAAACAAAATGTAATAACATTAGGAAAACTCGATATAAACGAAAATACAAATGACACAGGACAATCTGCTACACAATATCCCAAATGTTATAAATTTGAAATTGGAAATGTTACCTTAAATATCATCGATACCCCGGGTATTGCCGATACGGAAGGCATCGAAAAGGACAACAAAAATATGGAAAATATATTAGACTTTATTTCCAATTATTCGGAAATTAACGCCATTTGTGTGCTATTACTGCCTAATACCACAAGAGTTAGCGTAGTGTTTAAGTATTGTTTGTTACAGTTGTTGAGTCACTTGAATAAGTCTGCGGCCGATAACATACTGTTTCTTTACACCAACGCCCGGTCCACTCAATACGCACCGGGAGAAACGGGACCGGCATTGCAAAAACTATTAAATCAAATAAAAACACGCCCTCCCAATGTGGACATAACTTATAACCGGCAAACAATTTATTGTTTCGATAACGAGTCCTTTCGGTTCGCAGTGGCGACGGCAACGCCTAATAATATGGTGTTTGATGACATGTTTACTCGTAATTATGAACGTAGTTGGCAAATGTATGTATTAAAAAGCATCTAGTTAATGTAAAATTTGTTTGAATGATTTAACTCATAATGCGATTAATGAATTACTTGGCTAGTTCAGACTGATTAATAATTTATGATCTAACCAATGTCATAAATATTACAATATTACATTGATCATATAAAATATAGCTTACATTTGTAACGATCTAATTGTTGCAAGAAGCATTGGAATTTTTAAACACATTATAATAATCTTAAGTGTATTATAAATGAGATTTTTATTTAAATTAGGGATATTTATTTAGCCATCAATTACTATTCAATTTTAATTTTATTTTATGCATTATTACAGTTCAGTGGAAGAATGCGATCGACTACTGGAGCGAATCATATCCCTTTCCCCTCATATAGTGATTGACACCCTATCCCTCAATAACGCCAAACAGAGTATAAATCTATTGACCGAACCATTGGCTCAAATAGCGAAGAATATCTCGGATAACGTGGAAGAGTGTGAACGACACAAACAACGAATCCGTGAATTCAATGGCGATATAACTGCCCTCCAGGAGGAACTGTATGTCCCGGCGGTGGACATCAAAAACGTACCATTAGATCATCCGAAGACTGTCTGCAGTGATAAGGATTGTTGTACTCATGAATATGTCAACGGAATCGTTAAGACGCATTACAAAACAGATTGTCATTCACCATGCTACTTAACTAACGATAATGGAAATATAATCGGCAATAAAAATCTACTCCAGTGCCAGGCATTCAATAAGTATACGGTGGTTGGTCCCTATCAATGGGTTGACCATGCTGATATAATGCCTGATAGCAATTACAAAATAAATTCCGAGGGTAAAGCTTATATGCCTGATGTAATAGTTACTAAATCGGACAAGTGTTTCGTGTGCGGTCATTCCTATCAAACGCACCTACATATCAATTACGAGACACGGGTTGTGACAAAAAAGATCATGGATGAAACAAAATTGAAACGCATTACCACAACACTAGAGGCAACGATTGCAAAGAAAACTCAAATTAATGAACTTGAAATTATGATTGAAGAATTGAACAAGGAGAATACTATTATCACTAAGGCTATGGCCAAGTTTGCTTGTTTCCTAAAACATAATGCCCTGACACCTTTTAATGATGCCTTCGAAGAATACGCAAATATCGTTATAGAAAAAGAGAAGCAAGGTGAAATTAATACGGAGAAACTAAGCAAAATTAACGAATTACTTGCGCGATACAAAATTGAAAAAGCAGCAATTGAAAATGTAATTACTAGTAATGAGTCAAACAATGAGATTATATCGGTTGAGGAGATTGATAAAATTATCAAGCAACTTTATGTATTAAAATTGAAAGGAAATACTATTACCGAACTAATGGATAAGCAAATTAAAATTAAAGCTCAGAATCATGCGATTTATGAGCAAAATATTAAATCCGAGGGATTACTTAATTTTGCAAAACTTAAGTTATTCTGGGAGAAATCTAAAATTATTATGCATAGTTATTAATTATATTATTTGTTAATTTTAATTTATTTTATATGATTGCATGTTATCTTTAAACTCTGCTCTCATATTATTATTATTATTATTATTCATGTTATTTAACATTTAATCTGATATGTAGCTTCAACATTTTATTATAATTTTATGAAAATTACAGAAATTTTCTTTTTAATAAATCTTTTTGTAAATTGCAAATATTGTAAATTGTAATGAACTAATTTTGATTAATATGTTACCACGAGCTCATTATAATGCAATTTTATTGGCATACTATGGTAACCCAAAGCTAATAATCTATGTATATAATTGTTATTGAAAATATTGATAATCTGAATAATATACTTTTGAAAAAATATAAAATTATATATTTAATTAAACGGATTAAACCGACTAACAAAAGTTCCCAATTTTCTGAATAAAGACGACCTTTTCGGTACTCTATACTCCATTTCCTTAGCGACTGCGTGTGACTTGGCTTTCGACAGGTGCTGATCGGCCAACATCTTCGTAATGAGCCCTCCGTTCCACTTGAGTTCACACAACTCACGGATCTTCTTGTCAATGTCTTCCAGGGATATACAAACCGCACCGTTGTTTCGGTTACTATTTTCCATTGCTTTCTGTATGACTTCCTTCTCATACTTATATTTTACGAGCAGTTGTTCCAACTTTTTAATGGTCTCCCGATTATCCTCGGCGCTCATTGAACCGCCTTTCCTTTCGTTATCAATCAGGTGTCGGACGTAGTCCTCGAAGGCGTCGTTAAACGTGGTTAAGGCGTTGTGTCTGAGAAACCACGCGAATTGAGCCATACATTTGGTGATTGTATCTTGCTCAGAAGTTAATTCTTTTATCTTCTCATCCAGTTCATTCATCTTAGACTGTATAGCATCCATTGCCTCTTTATCAGTGGTAATGCGTTTGTTTTTGCTCTCATCGCGAATCCTTTTGGTCAAGATCTTGGTCTCGTAATTTATATGCAGGTGCGTTTGATAGGAGTGACCACATCCGAAACATTTTTCCGATTTCGTCCTTGAGCTACTTGCTAATAAAATTTTACCTTCTTTATTGGGTTTACTGGTAATTTGCTGGTCGGGATCAACATCTGTCGGTAAACCCCAAAAGGTCGTGCCACTTTGTTCGTATTTATTAAACGCTTGACAATCGAGTAGACCTTTATTACCCATAATATTCCCGTCACTATGAGTCAGATAACACGGGGAATGACAGTTGATATGATAGTGAACTTTCTCCACACCATTTATATTTTCTTTGGTGCAACACTCAGGGTCCCCGCACACTGTCTTAGGCTTATCCAATGGTGTGGACACTATATCCTTGGATGGGATATACAGTTCCCGTTTGAGTTCCTCTATAGTGCCTCGGAAATGAAATATGCGACGCTTATGTGCCTCACATTCCTTCACATTATCGGCGATATTGTTCGCGATGTCAGCCAAGGGTTGAGTCAATAGAAGTATGTTTTGTTTGGCGTTATTGAGGGATAGGGTGTCCATCACTTTGTGAGGGGAAAGGGAGACGATGTGCTGTAGAAGTCTATCACATTCTTTCACAGACCTGGTAATTAACAATAATAAATAACTTTAGGGGCCATTCAATACGTACATTTTCGCCAACCCCCCTCCAATTTATTAATTTTTTATATTAGTTTTTAATTTTTCTTACTGTTGCTTACTTTGAATATGCATGGACAATCACTATTATCACCTTTTAATTGATTTCTCAGTTCGTGTGACAAAATATCTGTCAAAATTTGCTCAATTTCTGATTTTTGTAAAATTGTACTCAAAAAACACATTTTACACTCAAATTTAGTCTAAATATGAATTCAAACATAAGTTTAATGAATTATTTGTCAGAAGTCTTTATCTAGCCTTATCACAGATTAAGATTTAAACCATTGATATGAATTAAATCCTTAGAAAAACTCATAAAATCTCTCTATGACCCCCTTCATAATGTACGTCGACTCTCACTGGACCCCTCCCCCAAATAACATACGCTTTCATACGCTTTTGACCTGACCCCCCTTCCCCCACCTCGTGCGTATGTACTTATTGAATGGCCCCTTAATAAAATTTTGTTTCTGTTAAAATAAATTGTACATTATTTGAATAATACATAAATAAAATCCGTAATAAAAATTATAATCAAATTATCATAAATTAACTTATTGCTCATATGGCGATATTTAGTGTAATAACAAAAGAGTATAATTTATTCCTAAACTAATTGTTCAAGTTTTAAAATTAAAATATTTTTATAGCAAACCTTTCCCAACTTGTGTCGTAGTCTCGTTTAAAATGATCATTAAACTGCATGTTATTCGGGGGAACAGTAGCCACGAGATAACGGAAGGCCTCGTTATCGAAGCAATAGATTGTTTCCCGACTATACCTCACGTCCACATACGGAGGCCTTCTTTTAACTTCATTTAATAATTTCTTTAAAACAGGTCCTGAATCTCCCGGTGCGTATTGCGTGGACCGGGCATTGGTAAAGAGGAACAGTATGTTATCGGCCGCAGACTTATTCAAGTGACTGAATAACTCAAGCAAACAGTATTTGAAAACCACGTCAACTCTCGCGTTGTTAGGCTTTAGGAGAACACAAATGGCATTAATTTCGCGGTAATTACTAATAAAGTCCAACAGATTTCTCATATTTTTGTTATCTTGTTCCACACCATCAGTATCGCCAATACCCGGGGTATCAATAATATTGAGCACAATGTAATTGTTTTGAAATTTATAGCATTTCGGGGATTTAGTGGCCGATTGTGTCGAGTCAGTGGTGTTCTCATTGCTGTCCGGTATTCCAAATGTTATTTCCTTCTCATTATAAGTCTGTTGATCTGATAGTGTAAACTGAACTGGCAATAAACATATGGGCTCATCCATGGCCTCATCCATAGTCTCGTAAGTCATATAATTGACGAATGCATTGATGAAAGTCGACTTTCCTACACCTGACTCACCTAACAATAGGATTGTTATTACTTTGTGGGTATTATTTGCAAATTTCGATAATGGTATCTTAGTAGTTTGTTCTACATTTGGTATAGGACGATTAATTTTTATGATTAGTGGTGGTATGCCAGAGATATAATGGAGTAAGCGATTGCATTCAGTTACTGATCTATAAAATTAAAATAAATTAAAATATAAATTAAAATATAAATTAAAATATAAATTAAAATATAAATTAAAATATAAATTAAAATATAAATTAATAATATTATTATAATAATGACAAAAAACTTAATTTACTTTGACCAAGCCATTTCATTTTCACGTTTAGTTTCGGGGCCAAACTGCATGCTATTTGGGGAATGTGAAGCTACCAGGTATCGGAAATCCTCGTTATCAAAACAATATATTGTGCTTTTATTGAATGTAATATTAATATCTTGGTAATTACTTGTGAACTTGCTTATTGCATCTTTTACAGCCGGAACAAATTCTGCGGGTTTTTGGGCGTTTGGAAATATGAATATTATGTTGTTTATTAAACATTTATTTATACAATAGGCCAGTTTTAGAAAATAATTTTTGATAATAAAGTCAACCATGACATTATTAGGCTTTAAAAGCACACAGATGGCATTAATTTCCTGATAATTGCTAATAACCTCCAAAATATTTTTAAAATGATGTTCATCAACTTCAATATCATCTGTGTTTACAATATCTTGTGTATCGATAATATTAAGACTAATGCTATCAGTATTATATTTGTGACATTTTGGGTAAATAGGTCCAGAACCTGTAGGCTCATTTGACGACATTGAAATATTCATGAATTCATATGTGTCTGGGTCGAAAATTGAAAATTCATCATTCACTAAGCATTTAATTTCTTGACGCCTGGCCTCATCCATAGTCTCGTAAGTCATATAATTGGAAAATGCGTTGATAAATGTAGACTTTCCCACACCCCACTCACCCAACACTAACAAGGTCAATTCTCGTTTATTTCGAGAGCTATCTTGCCCCGTTTGCAATATTTCACGTTGCCTTGGTGTTACTCTTGGTCTAACCTGTATTTTTATAACAGGGAGTGTACCAATATAATCCAATAAGCGTTTGCATTCCGAATGACTCCTATTTATTTAAAAATGGTAGTGAATTAAAATTTATACCGTAATAAATCGATAAGTAAAGACAATTTAAAATACTTCATCCAATTGATATCCTGGTCAGCTTTGATATTTTTATCCAAATCCATGTTATTGGGCGATGATGACGCTACACTGTACCTGAATGGGTCGTAGTTTATACAGTAAATGATCTGTTTACTTTGTTTTATATCTATATGAGGGGTATTTTCCCTGAAATGACTCAATTCAGATATTAATATTGAAGCAGAATTTCCCGGTTTATAGGTATCGGCGAAGAGGAACAGTATGTTATCGGCGGCCGATCTGTTCAAGTGACTCAACAATTGTGACAAACAATACTTGAAAATCACGTCAACCCTAGTGTCGGATGGCTTTAAGAGCACACAAATGGCATTAATTTCCCGATAATTGCTTATAAAGTCCAACAGATTTCTTATATTTGTGTTATTAGTGTTAACGCTATCTTCGCCATTGATGTCCACAATACCCGGGGTATCGATAATATTGAGTTGAATATCATTGGTTGAAAAGCTATAGCATTTGGGTGTGGTCGGTTCGTTTGTGTTTCCAGTTACCATGTTATCAGAATTTCCGAGTTTTATATTTTTGACCTCGTACGTTTCAGCGTCCACTATACTTATATCAATAGGAAATATGCAAATTGGTTGTTCGCTTCCCTCGTAAAAGTCTTTAAACGTTATATAATTGGCAAATGCGTTGATGAAAACAAATTTGTCAATACCCGGCTCACCCACCAATAGGATTGTTATCACCCTTTTCGATGACATATTCTATTAAAGTAATTATGCTAATTTTAAAACAACACTTTGTAAGCATGTAAACAGGGTTAAATACCTATTGTTGATTTTCACACTTATGTTTAGAATTATAATAACAGTAAATTATTTATATAAATAGTTTAAATTATAGTAATATAATAATTAGTTAATAATAATAAACTACTTTACTTACCCTGTATTTAGTAAGTTTCCCAAACGTTGCGGTGAATCCGGGTCCAGAATTTATGTGTTGCTCATTATAAGCGTGACTCTGAGCCTTTGACTGAATTTGTGTGGCCAACAGCTTGCTAATAGTCGGTCCATTCCATTTCAGACCGCACAGTTGTTTAATAACTTGATCAATGTCTTCAACCGATATAGTACCCTGATCGCTTTTCTTCATGGCATCCACAATGACATCCTTTTCATATTTATAACGTTTCAACATTTGCTCCAACTTGTCGATGGTCACTTTACTGCCACCTTGTTTTTCATTCTCAATGATAACGTTCACGTAATCTTCGAAGGCGTCGTTGAAAGGGGTCAGGGCGTTGTTTTTCAGGAAACACGCGAACTTAGCCATGCACTTTGTAATCAAATTATTCTCGATGGTCAACTCGTCAATTTTTAATTTAATTTTCTTAATTTGATCTTGCTGCGCCATGCTCGCTTCCCTTGCTGTGGCATTGATATCACCCGTGAACTCATGGATTCGTTGTTTGTGTCGTTCGCATTGCTTAACGTTATCCGAAATATTCTTTGCGATGTCAGCCAATGGTTGAGTCAATAGAAGTATATTCTGTTTGGCGTTATTGAGGGATAGGGTGTCCATCACCTTATGGGGTGGTAGCGATAATATGCGCTCCAATAATCGATCGCATTCTTTTACTGAACTATAGATGGTTTAAAACAAAAGCTATTTATTTATTATAGTTAAAAATATATTTGTGGAATCCAAATACTAAAAGGGTTGTCATATTCATGATTAAACTATGTCAAATAGTTTTAACTTTTATTAAAACAATTTATTATACATTTACTGAGGTTACTACTTTCTAATATGTACGTACCCCTGCCAACTCATTTCGTAATCACGTGTTACCACATCGTCAAACACCATGTTATTAGGCGGTGCCGACGCCACTGCGAACCGAAAGGCCTCGTTATCGAAGCAATAGATCGTAGGTTTGCCGTACTGTATGTCCACAAACGGAGGTCTCTCTTTGATTTGATCCAACAATGTTATTAATGCGGGTCCGGTATCTCCCGGTGCGTATTGTGTGGACCGGGCGTTGGTGAACAGGAATAGGATATTATCGGCCGCAGACTTATTCAAGTGACTAAACAATTGTAACAAACAATACTTGAAAACTACACTTACTTTCGCGTTATTAGGCTTCAGGAGAACACAAATGGCATTAATTTCCCGATAATTGCTAATAAAGTTCAAAATGTTTCTCATATTTGTGTTATCCTTATCAATACCCTTGGTATCGGCAATACCCGGAGTGTCGATTATATTTAGTGTAACATTGCCAATCGCAAACTTATAGCATTTGGGATATTGAGTGGCCGATTCAGTAGCATCTTGTGTGTTTTCATTATTATCTTGTGTGCCCAGGGTCACTGTCCTTAATCGGTATGTCTCTCTGTCGGCAATTGTGAAGTTTACTGGTATGAAACAAATTGGCTTTTCCTTAGCCTGGTACATATTCTCATATGTTATATAATTAACGAATGCGTTGATGAAAGTCGACTTTCCCACACCCGACTCACCCAATAACAGAATTGTTATCTTCTTTTTATTGGACATATCTTGTAATAAAAATTATTTTTTTTGTTATTTGTAAATATAAATAGTAAAGTTAATTATAGATTTACTAAAATATAGTAATTTTTATAATACCAAACTATAAAGGAATTTAAACATAAACAAGTCCCTTTGTATTATTTAGTAATTAAATTGTATTTACAATATAAAAATTATTATTATTTATTAATTAATGAATACTTACTAGTTATACAATCAGTTAGATAAATTGATCAATATATTAATTTTATAGCTTAAATTATTAAATTGATGATTTAATTTACTTTAAATTTTAAACCCTTATGTTATACTAGATACTGCATTAATAATCTCTGATATACTATACAGTGCACTATCATAATACAGTACTGTACATGTTAGCATGACATTTCACCGGAAAATGATTCATTTAGTATAAAAACATTTTATCAAACTTACATAAGATAAACTATGTTATAAGAGTTACATGATATTTTCCAATATTTATATTACCAGAATATATCAGTTAAAATAAATATGCGATTTTTATTAAGTAAATGTTTATATTATTAATGCAATCGGAATTTATTTTGGCATTAATATTTTAAACAGACAAATTATGTCACGTAACTAGGGCTGCCAAACGTCCTCCTTTAGGAGGATTGTCCTCCAATCGGTCTCTCAAAAAACAGTCCTCCCCAGGGTCTCAGGAGGACAATGTAATGTCCTCCCAGAGATAATTGTTAACATAATTCAAATATTAATTTAATTTTCAATTACTTTTCGAAATTCATGAAAATAATCTGCAAGTTTATAATCATTCCTTAAACAATTTATGAAATAATTGTTAGGATTACAACAAGTAGTATATTGTATTTGAATTGTAATTAGGCTTAAATGATAGTGTAGCTATTAAGAGTAAAAATATATATCAATATTACTAATTAAACATTTTAAAATTTTTGTCCTCCCAATGTCCTCCTGACCAGGCTCACTTTTGACTATTTGTCCTCCCAGTTCAAGAAAATAGTTGGCAGCCCTACACGTAACATACAGTAACTGTAATTACAAACCTTCAAGATTGAAAAAATTCAATACATAATATTTAGTGAATAAGTTTTGAAATATACCGTAATTTTTTTTATTAAACCAATCGTTTATCAAAACTTCAATTTTGGAAAATTTGCTTTTATTTTGGCATACAGTATACTGTAATATAAATAATATTTATTTTTCAAAACATGCATTTCATTTGAATGTCATAAACAATCATACTTTATATAACTATGAAAAAATTTATAACTTGAATTACAAATATCTATTTTAAAATATATATTTTGATTATTTACAAAATTTAAAATTTTAACAAACTATTTTTCAATAGCTTAAAATTTAAATGTAGATTAATAATAACTATAATAAAGCTATTTATATTCAATTTTATAAGTTATAAAACAGATATAAAATAGTAATTTAAATATGTTTAACTACCATAACTTGAATAAAAATTATTAATTCTGAAAAATATTAATCTGAATAACCAAAATTATCATATTTTAGTATAATATAATATCTAAAGAATATTATATTTAAATTACTTTACTTATTATTTAATTTTTATTAAATTTATTATGTAATTAAAAATGAAACGTTATTTCATTGAACATTTGTATTGATAAATAAAAACCTTATAATAGATAATTAGTTAATTAAAATTTAATTATTTATGTTATATTATATAGAACAATTTATTTGAATATAATTATTGATAAGTACAGCGTGTTTCACCATGAGGTACCAAGTTTGCGAGCTTGTATCTCAAAAACTAGAAGATATAGCATATTACTGTAAAGTGGGTTTATAAGAGTAAAGTAGGGCATTTTAAAATATACATTGATCAGTTTTTTGTTCCATTTAAAAATATTATTTTAATG